GAGAACTTGGACTGGAGGACCAGGCTGCGGGGGTTCAAATCCCTGTCTTTCCAGTGTAAGCTGTGCCACCTTAGATAAGTTACTCCTCTTTTGCTTCAATTTCCCCACCTGGAAAATTTTCCTCACAGGGTGATTCTGTTGGCTCAAGGAATAAGCACAGTTGAGATACCCGGGATAGGGCCTGGCACACAGGCCAAGTGTTTAATGAGTCCTCTTCCTAGGAGAAGCTGTTCCTTGCAGAGGGACATCCTGCTTGGAAAGGCGGAGGGGGTTGGCGAAACAGAGGAAGACCCTTGACCAGATGGATTAACACAGTGACAGCAGCCATGGACTTGAGTGTCTGAGAGTGTAAGGATGGCTCAGGATAGGATAAGGTTGTTCGTAGGGTCGCTATGAGTCATACTCAACTCAACAACACCTAACGGCAACAAATTCCCAGGAGAGCATCTTGTAAGCCATTCACCCTCATCAGCCAGTACTGTTGGAATAGAATGAACATCTCCTTTCTCAGTTCAATTTGTTCCCTCAGTAAAATAAAGTCTGGTGTGGACCCAAGACGCATTTCCATTGTCAGCCCACCAGGGAGGAGACCTGAGTTATCTGGAGAAAAGCCCCATCTCCTGAAACCAGCTCTCAGCTTTGCCCTGAAGGACCTTTACTAGAAGCATTTCCCCAGGAGGGCTTGGAAGTCCAGGCTCACCCAATCATCCCAGACCCACATCCACCTTGCCCTCAAGTCTCCTGCAAAGCCCGCAGGAGGGCGAGTGTGTGTACGGGGTCAGTCTGTGAGTCAGGCCTTGCTGGGCCCCCCCAGATCTAGAGAAGTGAGAGGCTAGGGCTTTGTCCAGGTCACTGGAGGAGCCCAAAGCAGGCATGTAGGTAGAGGTGCCTATCATTAACTCTTCAGTTGCTGGACGGACCTTGAGCTTGTGAAGGTCTAGGAGAGATGGGTGGCAACAGCAGGCCACACTCAAAGGACAATAGCTATTTTCTACCCCATGAAGTCAGGAAATCAGGAGATGTATTGCACTGGGAAAGCCTGAAATCAGGGACCTTTCCAAATTATTGAGGAGCAATGATATCTGTTTGAGGACTAAGATGTGTCTGATCATGCCATAATCTTTCTGATCATGTGCTATGCATCTGAGAGCTGGACAGTGAGTAAGATGATAAAAGAATTGATGCCTTTGATTTGAGCTATGGTTTTGGAGAAGAGTACTAAATATTCTATGGGCTGCCAAAAGAATAAATATATCTAAGAGAAAGTGCAGCCTAGGAGGCAAAGATGTTGAAGCCTTGTCTCACATACTTCAGGCATGTTGCCAGAAGGGACATCATGCCAGGACAGGTCAGTAAAAGAGAGGATGTCCCTCAACCAGGTGGACTGACACGGTGTCTGCCACAATGGGCTCTAGTGTGTCAGAAAGTGTGAGGATGGCACAGGATAGGACAGAGTTCAGATCTGTTGTTCATAGGGTTGCTATGAGTCATACTCAACTTGACAGCACCTAATAACAATAACCTCATAAAGAAGCATTTTAACAGCCCTCAGTCTACACCACTGTGGTTCCGAGTATGTGCGCTAGGGGTAGAAGTGGAAAAGAATGTAGTTCACTTTCAGCAATCGCTTACCTCCTGTGACCTTGGCTTTGACTCATAGTGATCCATGTACAACAGAGTAAAACCCAGCCTCGTCCTGTATTCCCCTCATAGTCTCTCCTGTGCATCAGTCCACTACTGCAGTCTGTGTCCATCCGTCTTGCTGAGAGGCTGGCTATTTTTCAACTACCCTCTATCTTTACAAGCTCTAATAGTCTTATCTTCGGAACAGACTGATGCTGACTCACATCCTTTCTACTTTTTGGCGACTGTAGCTCTCTATTTGTGTACAAATTGCTTTCTTTTTTTACTTGTGGTACGTGTGCTGTTGCTAAGTGCTGTCGAGTCAACACCAACTCTGAGTAACCCTGTGTATGACAGAACGAAACCCTGTCTGATCTTGTGCCGTCTCTGCCGAGCTTAAGTTCATCGCTGCCTTCACTGCATTACTCCATCTCGTTGCTTCACTGGCCTGCACTTTTCTAAGCATGATGCCTTTCTCTAGGGCCTGGACCAAACAATCTCAGTCATGTCTCACCATCCTTGCTTCTCAGGAGCTTTTGGGCTACAATTCTTCCAAGAAACATTTGTTTGGTCTTTTGGCAGTCCACAAATATATGTATACATATCTCTATAACCATAAGAACTTTTATCTATCTCTACCTCTCCAAAGTACTGAAGAGCAATGGTGTCTCTCTGGAGACTAAGGTGCGTCTGATAGAGGCCAGGGTCTTCGCAATCACTTGTTATGCATCAGAGAGTTGGACAATGACCAAGGAGGATAGAAGGAGAATTGATGCCTTTGAGCTGTGGTGCTGGAGAAGAGTATTGAGAATACCATGGACTGCTAGGAAAACAAACAGATTTGTCCTGGAAAGGGTTAAACAGGGTGGCTCCTTGAAGGCAAGGATTCTGAAGCTCCATCTAACATACTTTGGACATGTTGTGAGGAGAGACCGGTCCTTGGAGAAGGACATCATGCTTGGGAGGGTGGAGGGACGGCTCAGGAGGGGACGGCCCTCTATGAGGTGTATTGATTCAGTGACTGGGGTAATCGGGATGGGTGTGTCAGAGACAGTGCGATTGGCACAGGACAGAGCAGAATTTAGGGCTGTTGTACATAGGGTCCCTGAGTCGCAAGGGACTCGACGGTACATCTATCTCAAAGCCATTTTGACACTTTTTGCATGTACAATTCAGTGACATTAATTATAGTCATCATATTGTGCAAGCACCACCATTACCACCATAACTGATTTTCCAATTTTCCAACCACCCTTAACAGAAGCTCAGTTAACTCTGTTTCCCTAAACCTAGATTGCTTTTATAAGCTCTCAAACTCAATTCAAACTCATTACTGTCACATCAGAACTGACTCATAGCTGACCTGCAAGTGAGTCGTCAGAGGTTGTAAATCCCATGGGAAGAGACTGGTCATCTTTCTCCAGCAGGGCTGCTGGTGGATTCAAACAAGCAGGGAGGCCTTTGGGTTAAAAGCACAACTCCCCACCAACTATGCAACAAAGAAAAGGTAAGACTTGGCAACAATGAATGACTGGAAAAAAATGATAAGTCTTAGTCCCTCCCATCCAGGAGTTTGGAGTGACAAGAAAAGTCGGTGAAGGAGAAAGGGAATTGTCTACATCAGGCAATACTGGACAGATGTGTGGGCTCCTGGGCCCAACCATGGACGCTGTGAGGTTGAGCAGGCCCAGGAGTGCACATGTCAGGACAAGGCACCTTGTAGTCCTGTTTGGTTCAAACCCTCATGACAGTGGAAGGATGAGGTGACTCTAGTGGTAGTATCATCCCAACCAGGACTCAGGTCAGACGGTGGTAAATCTAGAATGTATGAGGCTGGCTGTTTAGATTCTGGACCTGGGCTTTTTAATACTGGCCTGAGTGGCGACTGAGCACTTGAAGTGTTCCTGGTTGAAAGTCAGATTGCTGGAAGTGTAAAACACACAACAGCTTTTGAAGACTTCAGAACAAAATAATATACTCATTGCCATTGCGTTGATTCTGACCAGACCCCTTGTATTACAGAGTAGACCTAAGGGTTTATTTGGAAACCAACTGGCAAGGCTTTTTTTCAAAGCACCAATGGGTGACTTCAAACCACCAACTTCTAGCCGTCACCTTCAAACTGCACTACCCAGGTAGCATGGGGGAAAAAATATGTCGGAGAATGTACTGCACAAAAATGAATGTAAAATATCTCAGTAATATTTTTGGGGCTGATTAAATGTTAAAATGGCATAAAGTGTGTTATGTAAAACTATATTATTCATTCATTCAGTAAACATTTCTTGAGCAGCAAAAAAACCCCAAAAACTATATTAAAATTAATTTTATATCTATATAGAGAGAGAGACAGAGAGAGACAGAGACAGAGATTGATTTAATTTTAATGAGGTTACAAGAGGGAGGTTTGAAAAAAAAAAAACAAGAGGGAGGTTTGGTGGTTTAGTGGATAAGGAGTTACAATGCCAACTCAAAGGCAGGCAGTTTGAATCTACCAGCTACTGCACAGAAGAAAGATGGGCAGTCTCCTCCCACGAGACTTACACCCTTTGAAAACCTATTAGAGGGTCAGTGACAAGTCTGTTCCAACTTAATGGCAATGAACTGAGTTGTAGCTGGTGCTACCAGAAAATTTAAAATTACAAACAAGGCTCATACTCTATTTCTACAAGACAGTGCTAATCTGGCCTATTTCAGAAAACCCAGGAATTCTCCACGGGACCACACAGCAGTCATTGTTTTTAGACCTCTCCTTTTCAAAAGACAATATTCCAAAAGGGAGTTACTGGTTTCTATAGTTCCTGAACCTCAAACACATTTGCCCTAAATGCCATTTTCAGCGGTTTCCTGGTGTTAGTCCTTTGAGGCCATTCTAATGGTATCTCTTCCAGAAAGTCCTCTGTGATCATTCTCTGTCATTGGATCAGCTGCCCTCAACCTAATTTATGTCCTAACAATCTGTTTGTTGGTTTATGTCCCAACTGGGCAGGAAGCTCCTTCAAAGCAGCAGCCCTAGATCAGTCATCTCACAACACCAATCCTAATGCAGGGTCTGGCTCAGGGCAGGAAGCCATCAATGATATTTGCTTAACTGGAGGTACCACCTGGTCCATCACTTCTGCACACCACATTTCTCCACCACTTCCCCTTGGGCTTCAGCCCCAGAAGAGCTGACATTACCAGTCCTAGCTTTCCTGCTGAGGGTCGCCGCCCTGCCTCCTCCCAGCAGCTGTTCTGGGTTGGTACCAGGAATGAATAGAGGAGGAAGCTGATCTCCACCAGGCCAGGGAAGGTAAGTCGGCCTCCTCCTCCTCCTCCACAGCTGCATGTGTCCCCGCCTAGAACACACTGAGAGCCCAGAACAGAGCCATACTCACCAGCGGTAGGAAGGTCAGCAGAGGGCGGACTCTAGGCCGAGGTTTCAGGGTGGCTATTCCACATTCACTCACGCTGTCAAACCGGTTGTCTCCATAATAGATTCCATCTAGAGGAGCAAGCAAGGGAGATCATGAGTTGAGGGCCAAGGGTGTCTGGGCCAGCTAACTTTGCTCTGCAGCTCCCCATTGAGGGAAGCCAGGCCCTGTGGCGGCCCCTGGTCAGCCCAGCTAAGTGTCTCATCAGGTCATCCTCTGGATGGAGAGTGTGTTGATGGGAGACTGGACTATGAGGACTCGGTGGGTGGGTGGGTTCCTGGGGCTTTCAGACCCCAGAGGCCAAATTCTGGGCCTTCCTCCCCACAGAACGAAATGCAGTCTCTCCTTTTGAGGCCCTGAGAGTTTTGCCACAAGCCACATTTAAAGTCTATCTCTGAGAGAAGGAGGGAAGCATGTCTGATTTTCTCCCAACTGTTTGAATCTGGAACAAGCAGCACCAATAAGGTCACCTGCTACCCATAATGGCCAGGGCTCCAATATCGTAACCTACTGCTGTCATGGTGCCTGATTTGCAGTGACCCTATTGGACTGCCCCTTAAGGTTTTCAAGGCAGCAGACCATCTCGTTTCTCCCTCAGAGCAGTTGATGGATTCAAATAGCTGTCTTTTCAGTTAGAGCTCAATACTTAACCCACTGTGTCACCAGGATGAGACGCCTCATATTTGCAATTTCCCCACCCCTGAAATGGCCAGAAGTCGAGGAACGTAGAAAGGACAGGATATAATAGTAGTGAATGGGATGTAGTAGCAGATATCCCAGCTCTGTCATGGCTTGGCCTCTCAGGACCTCAGTGTCTTCATCTGTACAATGGAGCTGATGATATGCTAACCTCATGGGACTGCTGTTAAGGAGTAAGAGTGACTGGCACAAAGTAAGTGTTCAATCAATGCAGTCCCTTCTCCTGTGGGACAATGGCAGAAGAATCAGCTTTTTAGCCTCTTCCTTATTTTTTAATTAAATGATTTTTTAATACAATATATATATATATATTTTACAGCATATTCTTTCCATTTAATTTTCCCCTATTCATTCATGGTTGCACATTTTCCTCCCTGCCTACCCCTCCCCCTCAGTTCATTTTTCTCTTTGAATAGAAAAAAATTTTCTTTGTTACACAACCCCCCTCAAGTCCACAATCCACTTTACTATGCATTTCTTTTTCTGTAATCTTGTCATGAAGATAATACCTAATCCTATATTCCTTTTAAACAGTTCTTTCCCTCATCTGTTTCAATGCAGTATATATTATTTATCCCCTTTTTTCTTAGGTTCCTTCCAATCCTGATGTCAGTACCTTTTTACAACAAAGGCAATATGCAGTATTTGTCCTTTTGTGACTGAGATATTTCACTCAGCATAATGTCCTCCAGGGTCACCCATTTTGTTTAACATTTCATGAGTTCCTTGTTTTTCAATGCAGCATAGTATTCCATTGTATTAATATACCTCAGCTTCTCTATCCATTTGTTTGTTGATGGGCACTTGGGTTGTTTCCAACTCTTTGCTACTGTGAACAAAGCCTCAATAAACATGGGTGTGCATATATCTGCTTGGGTAGCAGTTATGGTTTCTTTAGGGTATATTCCCAGTTGAATCATCTTCTTTCTCTAGTTCCCAGGTGGTACAAATGGCTAAGCAGTTACCTACTAAATGAAATGTCAACAGTTCTAAACCACCCAGGAATGCCTTGGAAGAAAGGCCTGGCAACGTAGTTCTGAAAGAGCACTGACCCTTTACTCTGAAACACATGAGGTCACAGTGAGTTAGCCAACTTGGAGGCAACTGGTCCTGGGACTTCCTCTAGTCCCCTTCACAAGGCAGGCACGACCGTAGGCCTCATGATGGCCATGTGCAAGGAGGACTTCCATCCACTTAATAGAGTGTGAGGGACTCTCTTCTTTTATAACCAGCAAGGAAAGAGAAAAGTCGGTAGCCCATTAACTAGACAAACAGCAAAACTAAATGTAATTATGGTTCCCTTTTGCATGGGACTTTGGGAAAAGAGCAAGAGAATGGGCTCATCAGGGAGCTCCCAGGGATCAGCTCATATTCCCTCTGGGCTCCTACACCTATCGTTACAGGCTTGTGTTTGAGAATCTCAGCTAAGATTTCCACTGGAGACTAGGGAACCCCACTTGTGGGAGTCAGAGTACTACAAAGGTAGAAGGTGGTCTGGGAGCAGAATTTCAAATTCTCATGGAATCCAGACTTTCTGAAGCCATTAAGGCCAAGTGGTGCCCCTCCCAAAGCTATACCCCAAGGAAATCTTTCAATCTTGAACAGAGATTTTGTTACCAGAAGTCACCTTACAGTCAAATATGAACCCGCCCACTGGCATCAAGTCCATTCAAATTCATATAGAACCTTTGTGGGTTTTCCAAACCTACAAATCTTCCCAAGAGAAGATCTTTCTCCCTCAGAACAGCTGGCGGATTTGAACTGTTAACCTTTGGAGTAGCAGCTTAATATATAACTCAATATGCCACTAAAGAATCATCTCTGTGATCAAATTGACAACAGTAAGTTGGAAGGGTTGATGTGAAACTTAGGGGGTTAATAAGTTTGTGTAAATGTTCAGATAGCTGGGAAAAGATTGTACGAAGGCAGCACAATTGAACAAACAAATAATCTCACTGAATTGTACACATCGACACACTGCTGGAGTGGTACTATGTTCACACACAATAGCAAGTTCTCTGTGTGCCCCTCCAGTCCCCTGGAAATGTCAGTTCCTAGCACTGTCCTGCCCTGTGCACTCTGGGCAAACCTGATGCCCTGGTCCTGGCTGCCAACTGGCCCAAGGCTGGAAACCACAAGATTGGAGGGATAAGAGGGGGGCTCCATAGGAGTGCAGATGTGGCCCAATCAGAAACCACAAAAGTAGAGATCACTGAACCTCTCTACCAGCCGCGACTGCAGCCCAGCTGACTCTTTCCTGCTTCCAAGAGTCTGTATGTGGGCGCTGCAATCTCTGGGACATTCTTAAGATAGTGCTGTGTGGAAGCCAAAGTCCTAGATAGCCTGGCCTTCTGTGGGACTGGGGGTGGGGAGGGTGAGGACCAACACACAGAATGTGGGAGCACCAGTGCCTGGTTAGATAAAAACCCCGCTGCTGGTGAATAGATTGCAACTCTCAGCAACCCTGCAGGACAGGGTAGAACTGATGCATAAAGTTTTCAAAGTTGGAAATCTTTACAAGAAACTAATGTGGTGTGTTCAGTTTCATGGAGCTGGAACTGACTCAGCGGGAACTGACTCAGCCTCCACCGGGTTTTCAGAGGCTGTGAATTGAGAGGAGATTGTCAGTCTTTCTCCCATGAAGCAGCTGGTAGATTTGAACTGAAAGACTGCCCAAGTTTTACTCCTGAAGTTTAAACCTTTTGGTCACCAGCATACGCTTTAACCCCTGCACCCTACCAGGGCCCCTTTCTGGTCTGCTATTTTCTCTGATTAGTGCATTTCCTCTCCACACAGGTGTTGAGATGTAAGTGGCCTCCTTTGTACAGTTAAGATATCACGAGTTAGTTATTAATGAGAACGGCTACTACGTGCCTAGGAACTTAGAAGTGTCATGGAGTAGGAAGTGACTCACAGCTGACCCTCCTGCAAGTTTCCTGAGGCTGTAAATCACACTGGAGGAGACCGCTCATCTTTCTCAAAAGCATCGAATAGTTGCAGGGGCACCACTTTTGCATGCTCCCTGAGGTAGTTACAAATTCTTTTTTTAAAACAACAACCGAAAAAACCAAAACACCCCAACAGACAAAACCAACCACCCAGATTCACTACTGTCAGGTTGACTCATCCATATTGACTCTATAGGGAAAAAACCAGAACTTCCCTATAGGATTTCCTGGGAATCATCTGTAGGAAATGTCACTATAAACCCAAAGGCAGAACCTCTCTGGTGATCCAGATCCACCAGTGGCTCTGAGGAGGAAAGAGGAATAATCTCCTCGTGGGTGATTGAGAGCCTCTGAAAACCCGCTGGAGGGCCTGTGAGGAGCTGGTCCCACCTCTACCGCAGTGAGGTTTGGGTTGGAATCTTTACAGCAGCAGAGGGCCAACTCCTTCTCTCACGGATTCCAACCACACACTTGTTGGGTAGCAGCCCAGTGTTAAATCCACCGTGCCACCATGGCTCCTTCTTACGCACTAGCAATTGATTTCTTTTCTGAAACAATCGGCTATCTGATTGGTACTGTCTGTATCCTCATTTTACAGATGAGGAAACAGAGGCACCAGAAGGTAAGAGAAATTGTCTGTAGCCTCATAGTGGTGGAGCCAGACTCTGAATCACTGGAGGAACTGACAAAGGAAGGGCTTCAATCCATTTACTGAGAAAAAAGAAAATTAACGTTCAGGTGGAAGTCCAAGGTCACCTGGCAAGTTGAGCTCCACATCAACCTCTCTTCCCTTTCCACAGGCAGCTGCTTCTTCACTCATTCCTATTGTACAGATGGGAAAACTGAGATCAAGGGCTGAGGTGGGGGGGCCCTAATTAATTAAACAAGCCTTCACTGAGCTCCTGCTGTATGTAAACAACAAAGAAGAGCTTGGTTCTCTGATGTGTCCCTGTTGTTGTTAGGTGCCACTGAGTCAAGTACAACTCAGTGGACCCCATGAACAAAAAGATTTGAACCCTGTCCTATCCTCACCATCCCTGACAAACTGCAGACCATTGCTGCAGTCACTGTGTCAGTTCATCTCCTTGAGGGTCTTCTCTTTCTCTGACCTACTATCTTTCCAAGCATGACGGCCCTTTCCAAGAAATACCTCGTGCTAACATGCCCAAAGCATTAGAAGGGGCGGGAGAGGGGGTGGAAGGGGTGGAGGGATAAGATTGAAAACTATATTCAGTAAAACTCCAATTTTATGAAATAAATTACACACACATATGCCCAAAAGCCCACAACACAATGCTAACAAATGGTCTGAAAAAAGACAACAGTTTTATTTTGTTCCTATTATGAACACATTTTCCAATCAGCCAGTCCCTGGATTAGATAAAGGAATACTGTTCCTAAGTCTGCTTTAAGTTGAATTTGTG